TGAACAACAGAATCATCAACACAACTGCAATACATAACTTTGCTAATTGTATTTGTGTTCTTTTGGATACAAGACACTTTTTGCCTTTAGCTACTCATATAGTCTATCATTATCATATAATGGCAAGCATGCCATAAGTTATCAGTTGAAGGGCTTACTCCTACATCAGTCTTAAGCTCTTGAGTACATCCGAGAAAGATGGGATCCTATAACTATGCCCCAGCAAGCATGAACATCTGTGGCAGGATACAATTAGACAACTTCCACAAACATATTGAACCAATGCTTATGACATCAGACCTCCAATATAGCATCTATGAATTCTAACTACTTCATCTTACTTCTCATTTGGAATTGTCTCATCTGGGTAGGAAAGAGATTTCTTTTATGAAAAAATTAAATGATCATCTGAGACTTAAAGAAATGACATTCTGGTATATCATACCTGCTATTTGCTATCCATTGACTATATCAAAATATAAAGCTACTCTTAGGAAGCAACTAGAATGTCATGTCTTTAATTTTGTAGATAAAAATTATTATAACAATCCATCAAAATAAATATAAATGAAATTAACTGGAAAGAGCAAAAGTTATGAGTAACATCAGACAAATCATGTCACATAGCTTATTATCTGCCTGAGCAGGCATATAGCATCAAAAACTGAATGCTTTCTATCGCTAAATGTTTTAAATGTTTTCTACCCAATAATATACTAATTATTTACCTCAATAAAGTACTCAGTCAATCAAATTACCATAGAGCAGAATTCTCCTAGCTACACTATTGTTTAAAGATAATTTTGGACTAAATTATTAATAATAATAATAGGTAAATATTAAGTGCTTTATTATTTACCAAACATTATATTAAACAATTATATCCATTATCTCATACAATTTTCACATCAAATTTTATCCCCATTTTATAGAAAAGGAAACAGAGGCATAAAGAGGATAAGTGACTTGTCCAAGTTTATATAGTAATAAGTAGCAGAGTCCAGACTTAAACCCAGGCCAGTCTAATTCCAAACCCCATGCTCTTAATCATAACACTGTGATTGAGTCCTGTAATATTATAAATGTACTAAGAAGGAGCCTGAAGGTAATACAAGACAACTGTGATGTGAAATTTTGTATCAATGCTTCCTACTTTCTAACAGATGTCTCACATTTTATAATTTCTACCAGAATGCTTCTCTTTAATTTTTATAGCAAATAAATATGTTTTATATTAAACATAGATATATTTCAATTTATAATCTTGTACTTTCACAATCACAAATACTAAAAAGTAGTCCAATGATTAAACAAAAATCTTGTTTACAGATTACTTGTCACCTATTATAAATTCATTTTTCTCTGGAATGTCCTTTCCAATATATTATGTAAGAGTGCAGCATGACTCACTAATTATGAAGGGTAGAAAAAATTGTATTACTGATAGAAAACTGAGAATTGATAGTTCAAAGGATAATATTTGCTTAATAAAACCATACTATATAGGCTTAGAATTCAAATATATTGCTATACATAACTAGATAACTTGAAAAAGTTGAGAAAATAATTGTGTATATATTAAGAAGAGGAAAAAGAATAAGAAAAAATCAGATCCAGAGAAAGCAATTATCTCATAATAATGCTTATTCTTCCTTGGAATGTAACTGGAAATACTTCCTTACAATATTAGATTTGTGATAATTTTAAGTAGCATTAATCTTTCTTATATTATTGAGTAGTTTGACAAAATCTGTGTGATTGAAAGAGTTTTTCATAGGGAATGATGACAATATTGTCAATTGAAGAAGTGATAAATTTATATTATGTCCAGTCTTCTCACTCACAGGGTAGAGGTTGCACTGTGAGGCTTGTAAACTTGAAATGGAAAGCTTTCATTTGGAAGGAAAGAGGACTGATTTTCATTATTCACTGTCTTTGTAGCCACCTCCCATTGGATGTGACATCCCCATTCCTACTCTTCTGGAAACAGAGAACCTATTAAGATCCCCCCTCCCTTATTCTCTTGGTATCTCTTAGAATCAGCTTTTAGGTGTAGGGCAAAAAGAACCCATCTTAGATGGCTCAACACTCTATAATTCCAAAAAGTCTTTTAATGTAAAAAGGCCTCTTGGAGCTGGCCAGGTTTCATAGTGTTTAAGTTCGTGTGCTCTGCTTTGATGGCCTGAAGTTCATGGGTTTGGATCCCTGGCCCAGACCTACACACCGCTCATCAAGCCATGCTGTGGCAGCGTCCCACATATGAAATATTAGAGGACTGGGCCAGATCTTAGCTCAGGGACAATCTTCATCGAGGAAAAAGAGGAAGATTGGCAACAGATGTTAGCTCAGAGCCAATATTCCTTACACAAAAAAATAAAATAAAAAGAAATAAAATTTTAACAAAGTGTTTCTCCATGTATAGTATTTATAAGTTAATTGGATCATTTCTTCTTCAGTCAAAATGGGAGAATCCATTTTTGGCAACTCACAAATTACCTTTTCAGATGTATAAATCACTACTTTTCTAGCGGCAAACTACCTTATGACTTTAACACCATTAAAAGTGCAAAGAGAAGCCTCTAAACTGTGAGAAATTTAAGCAGATTGATCATTTCTCTACATGGAAAAATAATCTCAGAGTAATAAGGGGGCTTTTTATCTTGCTTAAAAGCATAGACTTGCAGAGTCTCGAGTCAGAAAAGTCCTTGGAAATCATCTAGTTCAGAGGATGGCAAACTTTTTCCATAAAGGACTAGATCTTAAACATTTGGAGTTTTGCAAGCCAAGAGACAATGTCCTCAAATCTTGAAGCAACTGTTCTCACTGATGGGCTAATAGGCGGTTTTACATTTTTAAAATGTGAAAATCTTCCTTTGCTCTTGTCTCATACAAAAACAGACGGTGGGCTAGATTTGGCCCATAGGGCACAGTTGCCAGCCCCTTATCTGGCTCATTGTTTCTTAAACTGGGCTGTACTTACCTAGGGTGCTTTTTGAAAATACTTGGATATTCTGGCTTCTTTCTTTGACATTAAGTTGCAAATAAACATTCTTGATAGTGATGTTTTCCCAAAGTAAACCTCTAGGGAAATGTGTAATGGTGGGGATAGTTTACAAAAAGGAGGACCATTGAAGAGTTAAATTCCATGAGTAGTGGGTCTTACCTCCTTTAGAAGGTAAAGGGGCTCTTTGCCATGCTCTTCCCCTACTCCCCTTAAACTCCCTTAAGACTTTGTAAATCACATGCTATTATTTTCTTTTCATATAACTGCATTAAAGATTAACATTAATTATACAATGATGCTTTTTACTAAAAAAACAGATTATGGAGAAAAAACTTTGTATAAAGTGAGTCATTAATGGAATCTTTTTGTTATCTTCATATTCCCCATGAACTTGGGAGTTCTCTTGATGTCATCTGTCAGACTCTGAGGCCTAGATACCCCATGAGTCCGTTTTGTTTTTGGAACAATGACTAGTTTAGAATACAATTATATGTTTTAGGTGTGTGGCTGTGGCACCAGTGTCATCGGATCAGGAAATGATCTGTTTAATGAATTTCTTCATCTTACTGACTGAATTAATCTATTAAGATTATGGAATGAAATGACAACTTAGCTCTATATAAGATGCAGTAAAAATAGCAGATGTAAATAAAAGAGAGATGAGAATATAAACCTTTGGACAGAGCTTTACAAGCTTAACTGCAAATCAGTTTAGTGTACAGTGTAAAACTATAAGTCAATTCTTTAGCGGAAAGGAGTAACTCCAGAAAGAGGGGGCAACTTTTTAAAGATTCATTAGTTAGAGACATATTTATTTAACAATTTATTTTAATTTGGTTTTCACAGCAATTTTTTTCTCCCAATGAAAACTTCTCAGTACTATAAAGAATTACAGTTCTCAGGAAAGCATAGTCTTAGAGATAAAGAGAGATCAGCTTTTACAGAATTCTAATTAATGAATTTGTAAATATCCCTTTCCATCTTTTGATGTTAATTGAAGTTTAATAATTAGCAAAACTATGTTTATTTCAAAAGTGTCACCTCTGGAAAGTGGTGTCACTAGGAAGAACACTTATACCTTCTGGTACTCTATACCATCTTTAAAAGTATTCCTGCTAAGGAAGACATTTACTTTAGTGTTCCAAAAGGTGGACATAAAGCTTTGATATAGTCAAAGTCCCCAAAGCTTCAGGCAGTATGCCAATCCTAAATAACCAATGTGAATTCCATATTTACTGTATTTTCTGTTAGTTTTTTTTCTCAATATAGTGGAATATGTAGCTGCCTAAGTTCTTTGGGAAAGAGTAGAAACATTATCTGTATAGTTCCTCAGGAGGCCAGGTATCCTGATAAATCAAATACATGAAAAGCCATTACTTACCAGTTTATGAAGACAGATATTATTTGATTAAGTGTGAATTATGTCTAGTTGAATAAAATTTGCTTGTATCCCTCACCCTTTACTTTTTGTCTTGACTTTCAAATAATGAAAACTAGTGACAGAGCAATCATGATAAAAAAGTCATTATTATGATTTGAGAGTAGGAGTCAAAGAAGTTCTGAGGATTTGCACTCTTTAGATCAATGTTTAGAAGCACATGAAAATTATTTGCTATCTACCTCCCCTAGGATGTGGAATTTTCAATATTTATCATGTTTGCTGGCCGTATAAATCAACATTACCTTTCTCTTTATCTGTTAATCATTTACACTGTATAAGTCTTTACCAGTTTCCACAGTGAGTTTTTCTCTTAGACATTATTTCATTTGAGCCTCACAGTTATCTGCTGAGACAGGAGATTTCAAATATTTTATTATAATCAATTCTAGAGTATAGAACTGCCATAAACTCATGGAGTATTTTTTCTTATATTGTACCTAAATGACATGTTACGGTATAAGTCTATTAATTTTTCTCAGGTTTTATTGAAGATGGAACAATCTCTTCATAAATTATAAAATTATAACTTCGTATATGATTTGTTTTGTTTTACAGCCAATAACTACAACTAGTTCATCAAGTGAACCTATGTTTCCCCTTCAAGATGTGTCCCTTCAAAATGAAATAGTACCTTACATATTTGAAGATTTTTCTCCAAAAATGCCTAATACTCCAAGGTAAGCCTCACTGATAATCAGGTCTGCATACATACAATCTCAACTTGGAGTAGAATATAGAAATAATTTACTTTATTTTCCACTACATTTTTTTTGAGGAAGATTAGCTGCCAATCCTCCTCTTTTTGCTGAGGAAGACTGGCCCTGAGCTAACATCCATGCCCATCTTCCTCTACTTTCTATGTGGGACGTCTACCACAGCATGGCTTGCCAAGCGGTGCCATGTTCGCACCCAGGATCCGAACTGGCAAACCCCAGGCTGCCAAAGCGGAACGTGTGCACTTAACTGCTGTGCCACCTAGCCGGCCCCTCCACTACATTTTTAACATGATATTCAATTCCCAAAATAATGATGCATTGATTGGATATGGACAAGAAAATAGTACTATTTTCAAGTGTGTTGGAAAGCAGTTAATGTGAGGGTGAATGCAAGTGAATGTAAAATCTACCTACACTGATAGTCTTCCAATTTGTTCACAAGAAGGTTAATGGCGTCTCATGCATTCTATAGCCTGATAGATAGAAATATGTATTCTGTAATATTTTCCTATAGAGAAGTTTTCAGCAGAAAAATAATGTATTTGCTGACGTTCGATGAGTAATTTTAAAAGTACTGTTTGTCTTTTCTTTAAGTAATGAAGGAGCAATTATGATGCCACGTGATGAAGAAAACAAATTTGAAACAGAAGTTTCTGATACAAAAGGTTCTGAAACTTCAGCTGGTTCTTTGGACTATAAAAGTCTCCGAGACCTAACAATAATTGAAAGTGACACCCCTCTGCCGGACTGTGGCTCTGAGAAATGTGTGATTGATTCTGACTCTGATAGAGGCATTGGTTTGGACTCTGACTCAGAAGAACACTCAAAAGACTCTGACTCAATATTATGGGGAATGGACTCAGACTCAGAAAAACATTTCATGGACGCAGACTCTGTGAAACACCTACTAGAAGCAGAAAAATACCAGATGGCTTCAGACTCTGAGGAAGACCTTATGGAGTCAGAGCAACACCTAGTGGGAGTTGAACAATGCTGGGTGGACTTTGACGCTCTGAAATACTGGATGGACTCAGACTCAGAAAAATGCTTGGAAGACTCTGACTCTGAAAAATATGTGGTGGACTCTGACAATGAAAGACCTGCGATAGACTCAGATTCAGAAAAATACCCTATGGCTTGTGCATCTGTGAAACATGTGCTGAAGGCAGAAAAATGTCAAATGGCCTTAGATTCTGTAAAACGCCTGATGGAATCTGAAAAAAGATTGATGGAGACTGAACAACACCAGATGCTCTCTGTTTCAGATGTGGTGGACACCGACATGGAAAGGGATGGAGTGGGCTCAGCTTCTCTGCCTGGTGCACATTTGATGGGAGAAGAAAAACACCAGAAAAAGACTATATCTAAGAGATATATGATGGACTCTGACTCCGAAACATGTATGATGGACTCAGAAAGATATGGGTTAGCCTCAGCAGCTGTGAAATGTCTCATGGATGCTAAAACATCCCAATTGAGCACTGACACTGAGAGGCGCTGGATAGATTTTTTGTCTGAAAGACACACAACAGACTTAGATCCTGAAAGCCTGGGGATAGCCTCTGATTCTGTGAAACACATGATGAAGACTGAAAGGGTCTCTGACTTGGAAAAATTCTGGATAGGACTCAGGTGTGCATCTGAAAGATTCTGGACTGAGCCTGAAAGACAACAGTTGGACTTTGACTATGGAAAATGCTGTGATAGCTCTAGAATATATCAACATAGGTCTGTAAGACTTCAGGGTAGCTCTGGAAGATGTCAGGATGACCGTCAAAGACATTGGGATAACTTAGAAAGACATCAAATAGACTCTGATTCTGAAAAACATCAGGCAAATTCTGATAATGAAAGATATCAAAATGAGTTTGAAAGTGAAAGACACATGATGGAGATGAAGAGGAAACAGTGTCTGATCCAATCTGAAAATCAGAGACTTCAAATAGATGAAAAGAAGGAAAGATATCTCACAGAGTCTGACAGTGAAAAAGAGCACAGGATTGTGTCTGAAAATAAAAGACACCAACTGGACTCAGAAAGTGAAGCACAACGTCTTGGTGCTCGCAGAAAGGAAAATCGTCCTCAGGGTAAGCTTAAATGTGTCTGGCTTTTGAAATCAGCTTGTTTATAAATTTAATAACATGATGATACTTCCAAAATGACAGTAGCTTTTTCTTAAATCTACATTTTGAAATTTACTTGTGCAAAGCTGTTAGCAATAGTTGTTTAATTTCTATCAGAATGCCTCCCTTTTAACAAATGATATTAGCAATTTACCTTTTCACACTCTCATTTTTGTGGTTGTTTTTAATTGAGGTAACATTGGTTTATAATATTATATTAGCTTTCAGGTGGACAATATTATAATTCAACATATGTATATATCACAGCATGCTCATCACCAAAAGTGTAGTTTCCATCTGTCACCATATAACTGACCACCTTTACCCATTTTGCCTTCCTCCCACCCTCCTTCCCTTCTGGTAACCACCAATCTTTTGTCTGCTTCTACGAGTTTGTTTTTGTTTTTTTTTTTTGATTGTTTTATTTTATATCCCACATATAAGGAAAATCTTATGGTATTTGTCTTTCTCTGTCTGACTTATTTCACTTAGCATATTACCCTCAAGGTCCATCGATGTTGTTGCAAATAGCAAAATTTCATCTTTTTTATGGCTGAGTAGTATTCCATCCTATATATGTACTGCATCTTTATGCATTCATCCAACAATGCCACTTTGGTTTTTTCTATATCTTGGCTTTTGTAAATAATACTTCAGTGAACATAGGGATCCATATATCTGTTTGAATTAGTGTTTTCATATTCTTTGGATAAATACCCAAAAGTGGAATAGCTGGATCATATGATAGTTCTACTCTTATTTTTTTTTGAGAAATCTCTATACTGTTTTCCATAATGGCTGCACCAATTTACATTCTCACCAACAGTGTATGAGGTTTCCCTTTTCTTCATATCCTCTCCAACACTTAATATTTCTTGTCTTCTTCATAATAGCTGTGCTAGCGGGCATGAGATGATATCTCATTGTGGTTTTGCTTTGCATTTCCCTAATAATTAGTGATGTTGAACATCTTTTCATTTTCCTACTGCCATCTGTATGTCTTCTTTGGAAAAATATCTATCCAGAGTCTCTGCCCAATTTTTAATTGGGTTGTTTGGTTTTTTGTTTTTGAATTGTATGAGTTCTTTATATATTTTGAATATTTAACCCCTTATCAAATACATGATTTGAAATTATCTTCTCTCATTTGATAGGTTGTCTTATTCATTTCTTGATGGTTTCCTTTACTGTGCAGACACTTTTTAGTTTGACGTAGTCCCATTTGTTTATTTTTACTTTTGTTTCCTTTGCCTGAGAAGACATCCAAGAAGATATTTCTAAGACCGATGTCAAAGAGCATACTGCCTATATTTTCTTCTAGGAGTTTTATGGTTTCAGGTCTTACATTTCAGTGTTTAATCCATTTTGAGTTAATTTTTCTGTATGGTATAAGATAGTGGTCTACTTTCATTCTTTTGCATGTGGCTGTCCAGTTTTCCTAACACCATTTATTAAAGAGACTTTCCTTTCTCCATCGTATGTTCTTGGCTTCTTTGTCATAAATTAATTGTCCATATATGTGTGGGTTTATTTCTGGGCTCTCAATTCTGTTCCATTGATCTGTCTGCCTATTTTTCTGGCAATACCACACTGTTTTGATTACTACAGCTTTGTAGTATAATTTGATATCAGGGAGTGTGATGTTTCTGGCTTTGTTCATTTTTCTCAGGATTACTTTGACTATTCAGAGTCTTTAGTAGTTCCATACAAATTTTAGGATTTTATTTTGTTTTATTTCTGTGAAAAATGCCATTGGGATTTTGATAGCAATTGCATTGAATCTGTAGATTCTTTTAGGTAATATAGACATTTTAACAATGTTAATTCTTCTAATCCTTGAGCATAGAATATCTTTCTATTTCTGTCAGTTTTCTTCAATTTCTTTAAGTAATATCTTAAAGTTTTCAGTGTACAGGTCTTCCACCTCCTTGGTTAAATTTATTTCTAGGTATTTTATTCTTTTTGTTGCGATAATAAATGGGATTGTTTTCTTAATTTCTATTTCTGATAGTTCATTTTAATGTATAGAAACATAACAGATTTTTGTATATTTTTGTCCTCTGAAACTTTACTGTATTAATTTATTATTTCTAATAGTTTTTTGGTGATATCTTTAGGATTTTCTATATGTAAAATCATGTCCATAAATAGTGACACTTTTACCTCTTCCTTTCTAATTTGGACACCTTTTATTCCTTTTGCTTGCCTAAATTCTCTGGCTAGAGCTTCCAGTACTCTGTTGAATAAAAGTGGTGAGAGTGGGCATACTTGTCTTGTTATTGATCTTAGAGGAAAAGCTTTCAGTTCTCATGGTTGACTATGATGTTAGCTGTGGGTTTGTCATGTATGGCTTTTACTATGTTCACATACTTTCCTTCTGTACTTATTTTATTGAAAGTTTTAATAAAAACTGGATGTTGAATCTTCTCAAATGCTTTTTCTGCATCTATTGATATAACATTTATATCCTTTAGTTTGTTCATGTGGTGTATCATGTTGATTGATTTGTAGATGTTGAACCATCCTTGCATGCCTGGAACAAATACTGCTTATCATAATGTATGATCTTTTTAATGTATTTTTGTATTTGCTTTGCTAATATCTTGTTGAGAATTTTTACTTCTGTGTTCATCAGAGGTATTGGCCTATAATTTTATTTTTTTGTTGTTGTCCTTGTCTGATTTTGGTATCAGAGAAACGTTGGTTTTATAAAATGAGTTAGGGAGTCTTCCTTCCTCTTCAATGTTTTGGAAGGATTTGAGAATGATAGGTATTAAATCTTCTTTGAATGTTTGGTAGAATTTGCCAGTGAAGCCATCTGGTCCAGGACTTTCATTTTGTGAGAGGTTTTGATTACTATTTCAATCCTTAGTAGTGATCAGTCTATTCAAATTTTCTATTACTTCATAGTTCAGTCTTGGAAGGTTGTATGATTTTTAAGAATTTATCAGTTTCTTATAGATTTTCTAATTTGTTGGTGTATAGCCATTTGTAGTAGTCTTTTATGATCCCTTGTATTTCTATGGTATATTTTGTAACCCCTCTTTCATTTTTTATTTTACTTATTTGAGCCCTCTTTTTTTCTGAGTGAGTATAGCTAAAGCTTTGTCAATTTTCTTATGTTTTCAAAAAGCTGGCTCTTAGTTTCATGGATCTTTACTACCATCTTTTTAGTCTATATTTCATTTATTTCCACTCTGATTTTTATTATTTCCTTCCTTTTACTGACTTTAGGCTTCATTTGTTCTTGTTGTTTTAGTTCTTTAGATGTAAGTTTATATTGTTTGAGATTTTTTCTTGTTTCTTGAGGCTTATATTGCTATAAACTTCCCCTTAGTACTGCTTTTGCTGCATCCCATAGATTTTGGTATGTCGTATTGTCATTTTGATTTGTCTCCATGTATTTTTTAACTTTTTTCCATTGATTTCTTAATTGACCAAATAGTTGCTTAGTAGCATGTTGTGTAATCTTCACATATTTGTGATTTTACCAGTTTGTTGTTGTTGTTGATTTCTAATTTCAGACAGTTGTGGTTGGAAATGATGCTTGATATGATTTCAGTCTTCTTAAATTTATTGAGACTTGTTTTGTGTCCCAACATATGGTCTATTCTTGAGCGTGTTCCATGTGCATTTGAGAAGAATCTGTATTCTGATGCTTTTGGATGGAATGTTCTGTACATATCTAAGTCCATCTGAGCTAATGTTTTATTTAAAGCCAATGTTTCCTTGTTGACTTTCTGTCTGGATGATCTATCCATTAACATGTGGGATGTTAAAGTCCCCTACTATTATTGTATTGCGGCCAATTTTTCCCTTTAAGTCTGTTAATAGTTGCTTTATATACTTTGGTGCTCCTATGGTAGTTGCATATATATTAATAAATGTTATGTCTTTTTGATGGATTGCCTTTTTATCATTATATAAGGTCCATCTTTGTCTTTTGTTACCTTTTTGGCTTGAAGTCTATTTTATCTGATATAAATATGGGAACACTTGCTTTCTTTTTGCTACCATTTGCTTGAAGTGTCACCTTCTACCTCTTCGCTTGGAGGCTTTGTTTGTCTTTAGAGCTGAGATAAGTCTCCCCAAGGTAGCATATAATTGGATCTTGTTTTTCAATCCATCCAGCCACCTCTGTGCCTTTTGATTGGTGAGTTCAATCCATTTACATTTAGGGTGATGATTGATATATGAGGACTTAGTCATTTGTAATTAGTAATTTAGTAATTTATTAATTTGTGAATTATTATTAATATAAAACACACATTGATATGTGCTCAATCCACAGGTGGAATCTCTTCTAAACATAAAACCAAAATTTTGCTAGCTGTTTTCACCAATCTTCAGCTGTTACATGTTGGAAATGCAAACTGATAGGCTAAATGTGAATTTAAAAATCTTAGAAATAAAATTTAAGGCTATGGGCATAGAAAAAATTGCTCCTTTTGCTAGTCATCTCATGTTCATTCCCAAATGAGCAATACGCTCCTCTTAAAGTCAACTTACAGCATGTCAGTCCCTTCTCTATGCCATCTTATAATAGAGAGATGGAAGGAAAAGCAGTTTTACTGAATCTCCCAGGCTCAGAATTAAGTCTCTTTGTTCCTGTGACTATGGACCCTAAATGATAACAGCTTTTTTTAAACAAATGAATAGTTCATTGCAAAACACCTTAATTTCTATTTTATCTTTTTAAAAAATACCTTTCCTGAGAACAGTCCAGAGGTCATTGGTATTATTAACTCATACTCTCAACTTCTATGTCTGTAAGTCATGATTTTTAGAATTTATGTTGTGCTTTAAAATTTTACACCAAGTACTATCATTTTTGGGATCAGTGAATTGCAATCTCCATTCTGTCTGACACGAACACATATCCATATCCTCTCACCCCCATATGCCACCATGGCCTATTGTTAGCCTTTTTTTCATTTTAAATTGTAGTTAAATGTACAGAACATAAAATTTGCTATCCTAACCATTTTAAGTGTACAGTTCAGTAGTGTTAAGTACATTCACATTGTTGTGCAACCAATCTCCAGAACTCTTTTCATCTTGCAAAACTAAAGTGTATACCCATTAAACAATAATTTCCCATTCCCCCAGTCCATGGCAACTACCATTGTAATTTCTGTCTCCATGATTTTGACTACTCTAAGTACTCATGCAAGTATTTATCTCATGTACAGTATTTGTCTTTTTGTGCCTTATTTCTTTCAATTAGCATACTATCCTTGAGGTTCATCTATATTGTTTCATGTGTCAGAATTTCCTTTCTTTTTAAGGCTAAATAATATTTCATTGTATGGATATACCACAATTTGTTTATCCATTCATCTATCAATAGACATTTGGGTAACTTCCACCTTTTGGCTATCGTTAATAATGCCATTATGAACATGAGTGTAGAAATATCTCTTCAAGATCCTGCTTTCAATTCTTTTCAAAAAATAGAATTGTTGTATCATATGGTAATTCTATTTTTAATCTTTTGAGGAACTGCCATACTGTTTTCTATAATGGATGTACCATTTTAGATTCCTACTGACAGTGCAAAAGCGTTCCAATTTCTCCACATCCTCACCAACACTTGTTATTTTTTGCATTTTTGATAGTAGTCATCCTGATGGGTGCTTGTTTGACAATTTTATACCCAATATTTCATTTATTGGGATAAGAACTGGCTACAAAAATTTTTGGAGATGGTTAACTGATCATCTACTGAATTTTTATATGGGGCAATATATCAGCAGTATGTAGTGAAATATTTTTAACTTAGTTTTCAGTATTGCTTTAGTAAACTTCATGAAAATTGAGAAGAGCATCACCATTACTAATATATTTGAAGAAAAATAGTATTATCAGAAACATTTTTTGAGTACAGAATCATGCAATATAAATTTTTCCTTTATACAATATTATTTTATTAGGAATTGGAAAATAATGGAGTCTATTTAATATGTTTACAGGTTTTTGGAGGCCTGTTTTCCTGTCACCTGCACTTGGCCAAGGAAAGGAAACCGCAGAACAACACTCTGTGCAACAAATTGATAACAAAGGTGAATATATTCAAAACAAATTGCCTAAGAATTTTATATAGTCTTTGTCAGTTATTTAGAATAATTTAAGCCAGGGCTTGTATCAGAGATCCCCAAGACAATATCCAATTACAATGAGTCTCTAGGAGGATTCACTGGACTCAGCATACAGAGTACTCAAGGCTATGATTTACTATAGTGAGAGGATACAAAATAAAATTAGTAAAGGGAAAAGGCACTTGGAGTAATTCTAGCAGAAACTAGGTACAAGGTTTCAAGAGTCCTTTCCCAGTGGAATCACACAAGTCATTTAATTCATCCACTAACAAGTTATGACAACAAGTATGGCATGTTGTCTACCAGGGAAGCTCATAAGATTCTCAGTGCCCAGGGTGTTTTTGTAAAACAGCTTTATTGAGATATAATTCACCCATTAAACTATACAATTCAATGGTTTTAAGTATATTCACGGATATGTGCAGCCATCACAACAGTAACTTTTGGAACACTTTTATCACCGTAAAAGGTAGCCCTGTATTCTATAGTTATCATCTGCCTACCTCTTCCATTCTCCCTAGTCCTAAGAAACTACTAACCTACTTTCTGTATCCATAATTTCCCTATCCTGGATATTTCATATGAATGGAATCATAAAATACATGGCCTTTTGTAACTGCATTCATTCAATTAGTATAATGCTTTCAAGGTTAATCCATATTGTAGCATGTATCAGCACTTCATTCTTTTTATAATCGAATAATATTCCATTGTATGGATATATTGTGTTTTATTTGTATATTTGTCAGTTGATGAACATAAGAGTTGATTACAACTTTTGGCTGTTATAAATAGTAGTGCTATATTTGTGTACTTAGACAATTATTTTCATTTCTCGGGTATATACCTAGGAGTGGAATTGCTGGGTGACATGGTTACTCCATGTTTTATCACTTAAGGAACTTACAGCCTGTTTTCCAAAGTGACTACATAGTTTTACATTCTCATCAAAAGTGTATGAGGATTCCTATTTCTCCACCTTCTCATCAACACTTGTCATTAGCTGACTTTTTTATTTTAGCCATCCCAGTGGGTGTGAAATGGTATTTCCTTGATGGCTATGATTTATATTTACCCAATGACTAACAATGTTAAGTATCTTTTTATGTGCTCTTTGACCATTGTATATCTTCCTTGAATAAATGTCTATTCAGATCTTATTTTATATTTTTATTTTTTATTATTGAATTGTAAGAGTCCTTTATACATTCTGAATACATGTTTCTTATCAGATATATGATTTTCAAATATTTTATCCCATGCTGTGGGTTGTCTTTGCATTTTCTTGATGGTGTCTTTTGAAGCACAATGTTTTTTAATTTTGATGAAGTCCAAATTATCTATTTTTTTCCTTTTGTTGCTCATAATGTGAGTGTCATATCTAAAAATGATTTTCCAAATCCAAGATTGTGAATATTTGTGTGTATTTTTTTTCTAAGAATTTTGTAGTTTTAGTTTTAACATTTAGTTGTTTGATCCATTTTGAGTTGTTTTTTGTGTATGATGTGATGTGAGGGAACAATCCATTCTTTTCTATGTGGCTATCCAGTTGACCCAGTACCTCTTGTTGAAAAGACTATTCTTTCCCCATGGGATGGTTTGGGTAGCCTTGTCAAAGTAAGTTGACCAGAGACCTGTGGTTTTATTTCTGGATCTCAGTTCTATTCTGTTTATCTATTTGCCTGTCTTTGTGCAAGACCACATTGTCTTAATTACTATTGCTTTGCAGTAAGTTTTGAAATCTGAAAGTATAAGTACTCCTACTTTGTTCTTTTTCAAAACTGTTTTGGCTATTTCAGTTCCATTGCAATTCCATATGAATTTTAGGATTAGCTTGTCAATTCATACAAAGGAGTCAACTGAGATTCTGATAGAGAATGCACTGAATTTGTAGATCGATTTGTAATGTATTGCCATCTCAACAATATTAAGTCTTCTGATCCATGAATATGGAATGCTTTTCCATTAATTTAGACCTTTTTAAATTTCTTTCAACAATGTTTTGTTGTTCTCAGAGTATGATTTTTGAACTTCTTTTTTAAAATTTATTGCAAAGTATTTCATTTTGCTTTTGCTATTGCAAATGGGTTTTTTCATAATTTCATTTTTAGATTCTTTATTGCAAGTGTATAGAAATACAATTTATTTTTGAATATTGATCTTGTATCTTAAAGTTTAATGAACTCATTTATTAGTATTGATAGTTTTTAGTAGAGTATTTTTATCATGAAAGAGTGTAGGGTTTTGTCAAATGTGTTTTCTGCATGTATTTATATGATTATGTGATTTTTAAAATTCTGTTGATATATTACATTAATTGATTTTTTCATATTAAAATTGATTTTGCATCCCTAGGATACATCCCAGTTGGTCATGATGTGTAATCCTCTTATAACATGCTGCTGGATTCTGTTTTCTATTATTTTTTAAGGACTTTTACATCTATATTCATAAGAAATATTGGTCTGTAGCTTTCTTTTATTATGATGTATTTATCTGGCTTTCTTAGGGTAATTCTGGTCTCACAGGATGTTAGGAAGTGATCTTTTCTCTTCTATCTTGTGGAAGAGTTTGAGAAGGACTGGTGTTAATTCTTGTTTAAATGTTGGTTGAATTCACCAGTGAAATCATCTGGTCCAGTGCTTTTCTTTGTTGGGAGGTTTCTGATTACTCTCAATCCGTTCAATATGTTTATTCAAAATTCAGAATTTTTACTTTGCCTTCAGCCGGTTTTGGTACAGTATGTGTTTCAAGGAATTTTTCCTTTTCATCTAAGTTATCTAATTTGTTAGCATACAATTGTTCATAGTATTCTCCTATAATTCTTTTTATTTCTGTAATGTCTTCAGTGATGTTCCACTTTCATTTCCGTTGTTAGTAGTTTCAGTCTTCTCTTTTTTACTTAGTCTAGCTAAAGACTTGCCAATTTTGTGATCTTTTCAAAGAAGTAACTTTTGGTTTTATTGATTCTCTCTACTGATTTTCTATTCTCTATGTCATTTATCTCGACTCTAATCTGTATTACTTCCTTCTAGCTTTGGATTTAACTTGCTCTTCTTTTTCTAGTTCTTTAATGTGTAAAACTAGGTTATTGATTTGGAACCTTTCTTTCTAAATGATGTAAGTATTAACCGTTATAAATTTCCATCTGGTCACTGTTTTTACTGGATTCCATATCTTTGAGTATGTTGTGTTTTCATCTTCTTGCATCTCGAAGTATTTTCTAATTTCCTTTGGAGTTTGTCTTTAACTTCATTGTTTTTTTAAGAGTATGTTGTTAAATTTCTACAGATTTGTAAATTTTCCGGTTTTCCTTCTTTTATTGATTTCTAGTTTCATTCTGTTATAGTTTGAGAAAATAGTTTGTATTATTTTATTCTGTTAAATTTATTGAGTTTTTTTTATGGCATAGCGTATAATCTATCCTGGAGAATTTTCCAGGTGCACCTGAGTATAATGTACGTTCTTTCGTTGTTAGGTGGAATATTTTATCAATGTCTATTAGATATAATTGGTTTCTAATGTTGTTCAAGTTTTCTTTTTTTCTTGTTAATCTTCTGCCTAATTGTTCTACTCATTACTGAATACGGAGTACTGAAGTCTCCAAATATTATTGATATGTTTTCTACTTCTTCCTCGATTTCTGTCAGTTTTTCCTTCATGTATTTTGGTACTCTGTTATTAAGTACATATACATTTATAATTGTAATATCTCCCTCATGGGTTGACAGTTTATCACTATAAAATGTCACTCCTTATCTTTAGGAAAGATTTTGTCTTAAGTCCTTTTTTCTGATATTAGTATAGGCACTTCAGCTTTCTATGGTTGCTGTTTGCATGATACATATTTTCCATTCTTTAGCTTTCAAACTATTTGTATTTTAGAATCTTAAGTGACTCCTCCAGGCAGCATATATATATACCTTTGCCTTTTTATTGGGTTGTTTAATCCAATCACATTTAATATTACTATTATTATAGTAGAATTTATGTATGCCATTGTATTTTTCATTTTCCATGTGTCTTTTGTCTTTTTTGTTCTTCTATTCCTCCTTTACTGATTTCCTTTGCTTTAAGTAATATTTTCTAATGAAGCATTTAATTTTTTGTCAAGATTTTCTCACTGTTTTTTTTTGTTTATTTCTTTAGTGGTTGCCCTAAGGCTTACCATGTACATCTTATCAAGATCTCTTTTGGATTCATGCTAACTTACTTCCAGTGAGATATAGAAATGTTACTACTGTATTTCTCTATTCTCTTTTCCCTTTTTATATAGTTTTAATGTTATACATATGATATGTATTCATGTTAAAAACCTATCAATACATTGTTATGATTAATACTCTATACAATTTTATGTCTTTAAAGAATCTGAGAGAAGAAAGGAGATCAAGGATATATTTACAGCTATTACTATATTAATTTTCTTATTTATCATTTCTGATTCTCTTCGTTTGTTCTTCTGGATTTGAGTTATCATCAGGAGTAATTTCCTTAGCTGAATTCAACTTTGCTCTGACATACCTGTTTGTTTCTCCTGTTATTGGCAAATATATTACATTTCTATATGTTGTAGCTCTACAATACATTACATACATATTTTATAAAATTGATTTTTAAATCAGTTAACAGTAGAAAGAAAAATTATGCATTTATACTCCCTTTTATAATTGCATACCTACCTTTACTGGTGGTGTTTGTTTTTACGTGTGGATTGAAGTTACCTTCTGGAGTCACTTACTTTCTGCCTGAAAAACTCCCTTTACATTTCTTGAGGGGAATGGTCAATTCTCTCAGTTTTTGTTTATGTGGGAATGTCTTTGTTTCCCCTTAATTTTTTAAAGATAGCTTTGCTGGATATAGGATCCTTGGTTGCCATTATTTTCTTTGAGCACTTTAAATATGTTATCTCACTCACTTCCGGACTTCATTGTTTCTGCTGAGAAGTCAGCAATTAATCTAAT